TATATATATATATGTGTGTGTGTCGGATATTTTTCTTTTGAGGCCTTTAACTTTTTTATATAATATATCAATATTTTTTTGTATATATATATATAAGACGGAGGCGCCACTCATGATTAAACCTTATCTCCCACTACTGACGAAATCTGAATTACACGCTGTGATGACGGGAGGATTTGCCACCATCGCGGGGACGGTGTTAGCCCTCTATATTAACATATTTGGAGTAAGTAATGAATATAAGAAAAGACTAATCTAAAAAGATTGAGGAAACACGATAAATGTAGAACATCGGATTGTCTTACATTAGTACTAAAAGAATATCTAGAGTAGGTAGCCCTGGAGTAGCTTTGTGCGAAATTGAACAGATAACATCAGTTGAATTATAAAAAACAAAAAAGAAAACAAAGTTTGGTTTGTTTAGAAAATTCTTACAAAACTACGCAAGTACTTCCCTAATTATCAACTGATAGGCTAAAAGGAAGACAGCTAGTCAACACCATGTTATCAGTTGACGGCATTATACATGTGATATATGAATTTACAAGTTCTAGGTGTAATTTTAGGTGTATAGGTTCTACCACCAGAGGGTTAGAGTCACACATAAAAGAGCACGCAAATATAATGGCGAATATTAAATCCAATGTAGAAGTTGTGACGCGTTTATACATTATAGTATGTTGAAAATTCCCTGTAGAGCGCGCAGTGAGAAGAATTTACATATAGAAGAGCTTTATTGATTAAGAAGCTTAGATTAAAGCTGCACGAGGCGAATTCAACCATAAGACTGTTAGAAGTAATATGATTTAGTTCTTTAAGTTATCAGTTCAACTCTTGTTAGGCTTAACGTGGCCTGCCGATATTTCAAAATGACGACAACAAATTCTATCCAATCGTTTTCACAATCTGCGTATCACGTGTCCATGTACTACAGATAAGGTTAACAATAGAACGCCGTAGCTACCGTTTATAATAAAGGATATATAATGATTCATCTATCGGTACTTAATATTTATAAGACAAGTAGTAGGTACTTTCGTTTTTACAAGTGTATAACGTTCGTTAAAACACAACCTAATTCACGAACCTGAGATCAGCAAGAAAGAAACTGTATAGTAAAACATACAACCTTGAATATAAATTATAACGATGATTTAATGAATAAAACATATTTCATACTAGGCTTGTTAGAGCGCTTCAAACTTCTAGTGTTAACATAGAGGGAGCTATGTGTTACAGAGCGTATATACTGCTATGATTTTATGATATTTGTAACATAATTTTGGCATAGATAAGACATTAGCCGTATTAAGTTGTTACATTAGTTCTGAAACGTTATTTCGATGAAATAAACTTTACAATTTTCTGTTTTCACAGGTTAGTGCTAGTCATTTACTGTCAGCTTCAGTTATGTCAGCCCCTGCAGCCCTTGCATACTCTAAGTTATTCTACCCAGAAACAGAGCAAAGCAAAACCAAGGCACACGACATCGTAATCACTAAAGGGTATGTACTTGTAAATATATGTGTGAAATATATATATAACGTAATTATACGATTTATATTACATCGTGTATGTAATCACGACCCGTGGTAACAACTTGACATCGACTATCCATGTGTAACTACAGTGGTTAAAAGTCTCAATCCGCTTGAAATGTGATGCCCGAAAATATAAAATCATGTACTATAAGGTTTAAAGTCGCTTGAAAAAAAAAGGTTCCAATGACTTCCATGTGGAAGTGAAAATATCACGTTTGGGTAATATATGTACGGAGCTTTTGCCCGAAAAACTATTGGAGCAAGAATTTGTGGGGCAATTGCCCTCTTGACCCCCCGCCTCCTACGCCTATGTCTGAAACATCATCCTACTGGCGATGCAACATTTTAAATATAGCGCAGAGCTTGTCACAATAGGTTATCCAAGGTGCTTGTTGCAGGTTACACCTACAATGATAAGTTAAGCATCCCGTGAGTTGAATAAACACAAGATAAATTCTGCGTAATTTCAGGCTAATATCGTGGTACTTCTGTTAATGTATTGTACTTCTGTTAATCTCCTGGTACTTCTGCTAATATCCTGGTATTTCTATTAATGTCTTGTACTTCTGTTAATCTCCTGGTACTTCTGCTAATGTCCTGGTATTTCTGTTAATGTCCTGTACTTCTGTTAATGTCCTGTGTTTCTGTTAATGTCCTGGTACTTCTGAACCGCAAGGCCGTACTGTCTTTATGCGGAATTGATGCCATTAAGTTATGGTTCCATCAAGACAAACCAGCCAGTCACATGTCCAAGTCATCATGCTAGTTCCTCCACAAGATGTGAGCGCTGGCATAATGCACCCAATAATGTTGCCCAGGCACCACCAGGACATGTTCACATTCCAGACATCACATTGGCTTGGTACCTTTGTATGTATGCAGAACCTAATTGAGTCTGTGGCCAAAGAAATTTATAAGTTCTGACATTAAATAGTATGTAATTACATCAAAACAACTAGTCAGCCTACCGGGAGTATTTAACAGTCCATACTAAGTGATTAATTATGTAATATTCTGTCAGCTTGTTGATCATTTGTTCCTTCTCATTACAATTCTTACCTTCATAGTTTTTAATGCTTCAATATCTTTATAGATCGAGAACTTACCGTCCCTCGTTCAGGCATTGGCTCGGCCACTTACAGTCTTGGCTACGTCACTGGATGCAAGCACGAATGGGAATTCATGCTTTACTATTATCAGACACCACCCATGGGATTCTGAGGCCTTTCAGAAATCGTCATTTGCACTCGGTAGATAGCTTTAAAAAACAATGTAAAGGGTACGGGAAATACAATGACCTAAGGTTATTGTTTTTCCATAGTGAAAGTCGTGTTACAGAGTAATAGTCAGTAATCAAGATTATCATACTGAAGATCAATGATGGTGGAAGAAGAAATTGTTAGGCCTTAATTCTCATCCTTGTGTCACTATCATAGATCATGAATCCCCACTCTGTATAGGTTGTTACACATGAACACACATCACAATTGTTTTGTTTTTTTACTGTATGGATTTTGAATGTAAATAAGGCATAGCTTGAATTCTTACTTTTACAGTACAGAAACTAATGCCTTGAGTTCTTACTTTTACAGTACGGAAACTAATGCCTTGAATTCTTACATTTACAGTACGGAAACTAATGCCTTGAATTCTTACTTTTACAGTACGGAAACTAATGCCTTAGAAGCAGCAGCGAATGGTGCAAGCTCGGCAATAAAATTAATTGCCAACATTATTGCCAATCTGGTTGCATTTGTCGCCTTTGTGGCATTTTTGGATGCAATTATGCAATGGTGTGGGAAACTAATAGGCTGGGAGTTTCTAACGTTCGAGGTAAGCTGCAGTTATATTTATTCTCGGTTAAATTTCTCCCCATGAGTTTGTTTTCCTCGTTATATTTTAAAAGTAAATACAATTAAACCAAAAGGCCAAGATAAGAAATGAATTTAGTTCAAAATAAAATACAGTGTGGTAGTAATTAAAACTAACACCGACTCTTAGTTTCTAAGTTTGTTTTCTTACAACCAGTAGTTAATTGGATTTACTAAGTTTTAACATACATTTAAATTATATGTTGTCAGTTTTTAATTTGATGTATGAAGGGATTTATTTAAAAACTAACCTGGCTGATGCTTGTCTTTATTTTATTGTTGTTTAAAACAACGTAAACGCAGTAAGGTTGGAAAAGGTTTCACCGAAAAGTCGTCCCAGTCAGGAAACGAGTTTAACTTTGTATTATATTATTGTAAATTAATACATAGTTTGTTTAATTGAATATAGATTCAAGTTATAGCCCATTATGTTCATTTAATATTAAAAAATACACCCTAAAACAACATGTATTTCCAGAGTAAAGTGAAACACTACATAAAAAGGACAGAATGAACTGCCCTCTAGTGACTTCCGAAAGAAGTCACATAAATAATTCTACGTTTACTTAATTACGATTAAATTTTAAAGTTCACTTTGTTTATGTTGTACTTATTTTAATCATTAATATCGACAAGCAACAGTATAAGGACGAAATAATAATAATTTATATAAACACAACTTCTGACGAAATAATAATAATACTTTATGAAAACAAAACTTCTGAAAGCAAAGAAAACTTATCGTATCTAAAAATCTCATTAAACCTTTTTTTTCATAATCTATTTTACAGAGTATTGATACACATGACGTACACTAGATGTCATTACGATCTACTGATGAATTAAACTTTTATTCTAAATAAATTTTATTTCTGCTTGTGTCTATATTTACAACTTTTTACGTTATGCCTAAGCTTTCCCCATTGTTTTAGCTAAACAACAAAATATTAAATTCCAGCTATAAATTATCGGACATGTAAGATAAGTAGGTGTGCCACTAGATAGCACTGCATTCGAATTTTATGCCTTGTATATAGGTTAGTTAATTAATAATTGATACTTGAAACTGTAGCTACTTGGTGAAATTCCACAATTACAGAATTCAGTGGAAAAAAACAAAGACGATTGTACGTGTGAAAAATATTTTATTTATTACGACACGGGTTTCGCCAGTAAAAGCACTGATTAATGATTGTATATATGTGTGTGTTATATACCAGAAGTAAGACTGAAAACAGAATCTATGACGTAGAGACCTAATGCATTCTTTGATTGGCCGTATCCTCTGCTGTGAACCGCGTCATCAGTCTTTTAATTATTTTAGCTAATACTTAACTTTTGGTAGGTAAAATTTCACAAAATGTTACCGTTAGTATTTTATTATCAGGAGTTATTAGTGTTTTGATCACACTTAAATCAATCCAATCATGGTATATAAAGAATATGTCACTAGATGGCGATATAAACAGTTTTATGTTTCCGTGGGTGCTATGATTGAATTGTATGCATTCCTAAATATTAGCTTCACCAATTTTTGAAAACAAAAATCGTAACAACGTAGGACTTCTAATTGGAAGAATTAGTTACATGCATGTCACGTGAGAGCTTACCAATGCCAAAGGGATAGTACTCTGCCTTTACACTGGTTCATTGATTAATTGCAATATGGTATATTCATGCATTAATGCCATCTATTGGTGTAAATCAGTAATAGCTCTGAAGGGAAATTTTAAAAACAAACAAAAAGCACAAAGCTACACAATTATGCTGTCTGTATTCTGCTCCCGCGTGTATCGAAACTCAATTTTTAGTGTTATGAGCCCTCAGACTTACCGCTGAACCACCGGAGGGCAACATTGAGCTAATAAATCTAAACTAGTGTTAGTGTAATATCTCAGATAAGTTGCCTTTTAAACACGATACAAGACTATTAAGACAGCGGCCCTCTGGTGAGTGAGTGGTAAGTTTGTGAACTTACAATGTTAAAATCCAGGGTTCGATTCCTCGAAGTGGGCAGAACGCAGATAGCCCATTGTGTAGCTCTGCCCTAAAAACAACAACAACTAAAGATAGTGTGGTGTATTGAAACCAAAACTGAAGTTGTTACAACAATATAATGTACATCTTCAAGTCGTTTTAATCGTGGTTATTAAAATAAACACGTGAGTATTTTCTTTTTATAAATACATAATATTTAACTTTAATGGTCGTTAACCCTAACACTCAATAAAGTATCATAAAATAAACATGTTAACCTTTTTTTTTGTCAGTTAGAAATTAGTAAATGTAGTCTATGTCTCTCTGTGTATCCCCCCACCCTCAGTGGCTCGGCGGAAAGTCTGAAGTCTTATAGCTAAAAAACTGGGTTTCGATACTCGTGGTGGGCACTGTATAGTTAACCCATCGTGTAGCTTTGTGATTAAGAAATTCTGTTTAAATTCACAAAAAATATATAGGGCTTAAGGTGTTCGTTGTTTCATTATCAGCTCTATAGTTTGTGGTCGAGATTATTTCAATGTGAAATTAAACCTTTCTTTGTTTTATTAATGGATTTATTCAGTAAATCTGTTTGTTTTTTTCACAGTGGATTCTGTCAAAAGTCTTCATGCCGCTAGCATTCCTAATGGGAGTTGACTGGTCAGAATGTGGCGAAGTTGGACAGTTGCTCGGTCTTAAAACTATAGTTAACGAATTCGTTGCTTATCAGAAACTGAAAGAAATGAACGATCAAAATCTGCTATCTGTAAGTGTGTGTTTGTACTTAACTTATATCTGTAAGTGTGCGTGTTTATACTTAACTTATATCTGTAAGTGTGTGTGTTTATACTTAACTTATATCTGTAAGTGTG